AAAGAAGTTGCTTGATTTTATTGACTGGGGGAAAAAAGGGTAATCAGCCAGATTGTACCTCTGGGTAACTTACTCTGTGGGATTGAGTTTGTTTAGAGACCACACTGATGTGAATTAGGAACTTTGGGCATACTACTAAACAGCTAATGAGGGCTCTGAAAGATTTATGTGCTATCAGGAACCACAGCCATGTCTGGCCAAATTTTAGAGTTTTTCTCAATAGAGAGTTACAAAATCTACTGGAAAGGTCCAGTATTAATATCTATCTGGAGACTGCTGCAAACAAACAGCTCTTTAGTTCTTGGTAAGAACAGAGACTATTGGGCCAGATTTCTGGCCCTTAAGAAATGTGGTGTTTGATTCCATTTGGCAGGAAGTTTAATCTGGTGCGGAAACTTTAGCCAGACTTCTTGGAGAAATATTTTTTTAATGTAACATATCCAAAACTTATTGCAAAAAGTAATGTCCACTTAGTCTATCTATTCTATTAATAATCATTTAAATGCTTTGTAAATATTCACAGTGCTGTTTTCAGCAACATCTAGTAAATGCTTGACCTTTTAGTTCCTGAATTTGTTGTGGCCATAAACTTTTATGTAAAATTGGGGGAAACTTTTATGTAAAATTGTAGCCTGCTGTTTATTTAAGCTGCAGGCAGAGAAGCAGTAAGTGCTACAGTTTTCTAATCAACTACCAAACAGTGGTAGGTCTTTGCAAGTTATTGTGTAATTCACTTTTTAGAATATGGCACCTTCTGTAGTGTACAGAACACTCGGTTCAAGATTAAACACCTCATTTAGAATATATGGACACGAATTTTGGACAGGAAGGCAGAGCGGTATAAGAGAACGGCTGACTGAGGCAGGCTGGAAGGAGCCTTCGCCTTGGCAAAATGACACCCAGGGGCAGGGGGTGATAACAGTTTACAAATATTTGAGAGGTGCAAAGACCAAAGGGGGAGGGGATTATTTTGCTTAGTTATTAAAAGTAATGAGAAGAAATATAGAAAGGAAAATTTCAGACTGAAAATCAGTTGAATTTCCTGACAGTAAAAATTGGTCATGAGAGGACTGAACGCTCCAACCACAGAGAAGATCCTAAACGAATCTGGCAAAGCAGGGCATTTCATTGCGGAAGATGTACCTCAACAGCGGCCGAAGGAGCATCTGAATGGGAGGAAATATTTTATTGACAGCCACTCTTGAGGATTTCTCTTTATCCCATTTATCAAAATCTTTTTTCTTCTATGTGTCAGAAAGAAGACTTCGATATCTTTTTATATTTACTTGTTTATACCCTGACGGGTTCCCTGACTTACTAGATACCTTCAGAAGAAACAGAAAGAAATGAGTATTCAGAAACTTTTAAGTTTTCACAATGTAAAAGCAGCCTGAATTTTTGTTTGTTTGTTCTTTTGTTTTAGTTTGTTTTTTTATTTAGCTTGAGGTAGTAGAATCTGAAAGCCACCAAATGGTAGCTGCAGTGTAGGAGACACCTCTCACTGGAGTTGGAACCAGAAGGCCTGAGTTCGAATCCTGGCTCAAGTACATACTCATTAGCTGGTCACCTGAGCAAGTTACTTATCCTCCCTGAGCATCAATTTCCTAAAATAAGGGGGCAATAATCCCATCATGCTTGGGAAGATTAAGTGAAACGATGTGTAGGAGAATGCTGCTGTACAATGAACCAGTCTAGTTGTGTTTGTGTTAGTTTTTTTTATTGCTACTGTGACAAATTACTGCAAACTTAGTGGCTTAACTTCTTACCTGGAGGTTCTGGGAGAGAGTCTGCTTCCATGCTCGTTCAGGATGTTGGCAGAATTCAGTTGCATGCGGCTGTGGGACTGCAGTCCCCGTATCCTTGCTGGCAGCCAGGGGTAGTTCTCAGCTTCTAGAGGCTGCCTGTATTTCCTGCATCTTTAAAGCTAGTCAAGTCCTCACATTTCAGATCTCTCTGACCTCCCCTTCTGCCTCATCTCCTACCTCCAGCCAGAGAAAGTTCTCTGTTTTTAAGAGCTCATGTGATCAGGTTAGAACCACCTGGTTCATCCGGGATGATCTCCCTATTTTAAGGTCCATAACCTTAATTACATCTGCAAAATCTCTTTTGTCATATAATGTAACTATTCACAGGCTCTAGGGATTAGGGTTTGGACATCTTTGGGGGTTCATTCTGCCTACTACAATGATGGTATTTTAGGGCTAGAAAGGGACCTTACAGAACATGAGATGGGGTTCTTGCCCTGGAGGGTTTATAATCCAGGGGGAAAGAGATGAGAAATATAATATTCAGCAAGAAAAGTCCAATAATAAAGAGTTTGTATGGGATGTTATAGGAGCCCAGAAGACTTTTTCTGTACCTGACTTAGCCTGTGGTTTTTTCACCATGCCCTGCTTGTTCTTTGATCTCATTTATCAAGATCCTTCGGATGGAATCCATATACACAGAACACCACCATGCAATTTGATTTCTAAATGTCCAGAAAATTAAGCTGCTGCCACAGCTCGGTATTTGGGACTCTGCTACTTAATAAGGAAAGGTCTTGAGGTCTTGAGTAAGAGGAGTTATTTTCTTCTGTGATGATGAAGTATAACACCACCTTATCTCCCCTTATCTTGTCCCTTATCCCCGATTTTTCCTCATCAGACCCCCCCTTTGAGAGCCTTCCTGTCCCTCACTCCTAGTTCTTTCCGTCCGTATATATGTCTTTACTCCTACCCTCTTTTGAGTTTTCTTGTTTCGTATTGTTTTGAAGTAGAAGGCACTTAGCCGGGGCAGTGCAAAGGTTTCTGTTTAATTCTTGTCGCTTGTCATTTCGGCTTTAATAATGTTCCACGGATGTTCAGTCAGATCTCGGTGATGGTTTTGTAGTAATACAGCTGCCATTTATTGAGCACTGACGATGTGCCAGGTGCTGTGCAGAGTCCTGTGCTTCCACCTTCTCATTTAATTTAGACATTCTGTGAGGTGTAGGTAATATTTATCTTCATTTGAACCGGGCTGGGATTTGAACCCAAACCTAAGTCGAAAGCCTGTACTTGACACCATGCACTACAGTAATATGAGACAGGAGCTGAAACTGAGGGGCGGTATGAAGGCACCAAAGCAACACAAGCAGATTCAGGAAACCTAAATTTCAAACTCTGCTCTGTCTTGACAGCCCATGTGAAAGTTAGAGGATCTGCTTCGAGAGCACCAGGATTGTCTCCGTTTCCCACCAGAGACACTCAAAGTGATTTCTGCCTATAAGACTTCAGCCAGGTGAATTTAGCTTGTGCCTACAGCACTGGGCAGCCACAGAGCATGTGTGGGCCCTGGCTTGGCATTCCACAGAAGAGCCTGTTTGTCTGAGGGGAGGGGGTGGGGCCGGCAGGGGGAAGTGGTGTGCCCTGTGGCTGGAGAATACCTTCCCCACAGGGCTGGGATGATTAAGATCTTCAAGGATTTAACATATTAGGCACTTAGTAGGCACTCAGTATGTGCTGGTTCTCATTGTCCTTCTAGAAGGTTGTCTTTAGTTCATGGGTATTCAAACCAGTAGAATCGTGCTCTTCTAGCTCTACTTGAATCTAGGCTCAAGGAGAATTGAGGAGAAGACATGAGATGCATCTCTGTGTTGGCTCCTGTCCAATCCTGTGAATCATACCAACTCATAAATTTAAGCTGGAATCTGAGGCCAAAGAAGGCAAAATATTTCCCTTTCCCCTTCTTGAGTTCTTGAGTTACTGATGTAATGGAAACAGACAGTCCAGGGTTCAAATCCACGCTCGGCACTTGGCTGCTCAAGTTACGTGCCTGTCTCCATCATGGAAAGAACTTGGACTGTGGGGAAGAGTACACTTGGCCATTTTACCCAGTCACTTATCCTTTCTGAGGCTGTCTCCTTACCTGTGAACGGAGGCAACAGCAGTTCTTCTCTTACAGGGTTGTGAAGATTAGAGAGTAATGCATGTGGTACAATCAGGATCCGGTAGCAGAAACAGTGAAAGGTCTGGAGCCTTTACACCAGCTGTTCATTCATTCAGGGCCCTGGCAATTTAAGTTGAGCGAGTAGTCCCAAGTTTCAGTCACTTATCCTTTTCCCTCTCAGCAGGAGGGCAGCCAGGTAAGGTAGCTGGGGGTGCTCTGTCCATCAGGCCAGAGCAGGTATGGGGGAGAGTCTTGTTAGGCCGTGGAGGTGCCAAGTACCACCTAAACCCAGCCTGACCGTGTTCTACCACCAAAGACCCCGGCACCAAACGGTGTTGCTTCATAGTAGTCAATGCTCCTTGACTTGGAAACGTTTTCAGTTCCTGGGAGCAGTACGGTGCCGCCAGGGCTCACGGCTCACCCCCGTAGTCTTCCTGCGACTGGGATCCGCATGCACCCTACTCCCAGCGCAATTTATCGTCCTTCAAGGTTCAGCAGGCTGTGGGCCCAGGGCCGAGGTGGACGTGGGGGGAACTTTCCGGGAAGGGGCCCAGCAGGGTCTTGGCTGGAGGCCCCGTTAGCCACGGCCCAGGACCCCCGGGTGGGAGAGTGAATGGAAAGGTACTCGCTCCTGGAGCGGTTGCAGAATCCTCTGTCGTGAGGAAGGAAGAGCTAAGAGGCACTTGGTGGAAGGGGCCCTCTCTCGGCCCTCCTTTCAGGTGCTGGGGCCTAGAGGGGGTCCAGTTCCACTTGGGAAGGCTGGGAACTAGGAAGTGTTGCGGGCTAGACACCCCGCCTTCCCAGTCTCCTGGAGCGGGGGGGGGGGGGGCCCCGGGGGGGGGGGGCGGCGGCCCCGCCAGGGCGGAGAGCGAGTGAGGGGTCCGTGCGGCGGCACTGCCTCCCCGGGAACTGGGGCTCGGCCCAGTTCAACGCGGGGAGAGGCGGGCCCTCCCCTGCCCCCGCCTGCGGGGACCCTGCGCCTGTGTCCGGAGGAGGCCGGCGTCCAGCAGATGCGCGCGGGGCGGGTGGGGTGGGGGGCGGGGGAGAGGCGGGGAGGAGAAAACCCACAACAAAACTTGCGTCGCCGAGCGCACGGCTGGACTTGAATGGAAGGAGCCCGCGCCAGCGGAGCGCAGCCGAGACTCGGGAGAGCGCGGTCGGCCGGCGGGGCGCGGCGCGGCGCGGGGGCGCAGCAGGTACCGGGCTCGGGCGGCCGGGTGGGCCGAGGGCCGGGGCCGAGCTGGGCAGCGGTCTCGGACTTCCCGCCTGGTGCGAAGGCTCCAGCAGCTGGCCCGGCGGGGCCGCGCATCTCGCCCCCTCAGTCGGAGCCCTACACGGAGGGCGCAGCCGGAGACCTCTCCCTCCGGGGCGCGACCCCCCGCGATTCCCACCCCGCAGGGGCCTGTTTTCTCCCGCCAGAGGCTGGTCCCAGCCCCGGCCCCTCCTGCTGCGCACATCTGGAAAGAATCTGAGGGCGGATGGGGTGGGAGGTGGAGTGGAAGGACGCGGGCAGGCAACAGGGAATGTGGGGGGCAGGTGGAACCAGGGAGTGTCGAGGACCCCTGTACTTAGAGCCTGGGCGCTGAGTATGCCCGTGTCTTTCCATGTCAGCTCATCCCAGGTAGCCCACCCTTCGACCTCTTTACAGACAGAGAAACTGAGGCCTATAGAGGGACAGAGATCTGCCCCCAGGACGCACGGACAGCCCGTGCGTCCCCCTCCCGACCTTCTCCTGGCTTGGCTCCCCGGCCCCGCGCCGCGCAATCGCTGAGCCAGAGCTCTCAGCTGGGGGCCTGGTATCAGTCTGTCTGTCTATCCGGCTGCCTCCCCGCTGGGACAGCAGGACTGAGCAGGGGGCAGGGGCGTGGCCGCGGAGCGCGGGGTGGGGGGCGAGGCCGGCGCGCCCCGGCGAAAGCGGCCAAAGCCCCCAGCCTGAAGGTCCTTGAACCGCCAGGCTGGCCTGGGCTGAGGATAAGATCGTGGCGTTAGAATACCTGATGCGCTGTCAGGTGGAAGAGGGGGCTTCAGCGAGCTCCTGGTGGCCCCCGGGGCTGGGGCCGAGGCTGGGGGTGGGAGGCAGCTGCAGCCTGAACTTCAGGAGAGGAGCAGACACAAGCGTGCATGTGTGTGGCACTGACTGTCCCGATCCGGTCCAGGAGGCGCAGAAGGATACGCACCAGGCGCTTACAGGGCATCATGGAACGTCGGAGGGTCACACAACCTGAGCGTCTGCCCTACGACTTAGGGCTGGCTGGGGAAGGTGAAGCTGTGGTCGACTGAGCTACATAAGGCACCACTGGAGCTCCTGGGTGGTCATGTCCCCTTTTAGGGCCCGGGGCCCAGCCGATTCTAAACTAGAGTGCAAGTTAAGAAATGTCAGATTCACATGAATGCTTTCATGAAATCTTGTGGGAGCATACTTTGTCCCTTCTAACTGAATCTTGGGACAGGGGTGACTAATGGAGGCACCTTTAGGCCTGGTAGAGTCCTACGTAAGAGCTCCAACCATGATCTGCTTACAACCCTTGATATCTCCCTATCATCAACCCGTTAGCAGAGTGCCTGATGCCCTTGGAGACTTGGACCTCGATTCCCTGTTACCCTTCCTTAAACATACCCCCCCTCTTTGCCCTCCCCATACTGTGCCTTTGCTCATGCCCTGTCCTCTGCCCTGAGTGCCTTTCCTCCCCTTTGTCCACCTGGAGAACTTCTCCTCAGTCTTCAAGACAGGCTCAGGGCTCTGAGCAGGAGTCAGAAGACACAAATTCTAATCCTGGTCTTGCCTTTAAAATACTAATCAGTGAACTGAGGGAATCAGACCAGAGAGTAATGCTGTAGCTCCTTCCAACCCTGCCTTCCACAGATACATTCCTTCATTCAGCAAACATTTCCTGAGCACCTGCTCCTTGCCTGGGGAGTCAGGGAAGGCTCAGCTGAGCCCCGAAGGGTACTGTGGGAGCATCAGGGAACTCCCTAACCCAGCCAAGGGGGCAGGAGCAGCTTCCCAGGGCAGGAACGTGTGAGTAGGAGCTTGCTGGAGATGGGCAGCAGTGGGAGCCTCTTTGTGCTTTAGTTTCCTCATCTGCAAAATAGGAAGGCTAGCTCTTAGCCTTGGGATTTCTGTTATAGTCAATGAGAAGCCGCTGTTCAGGGCCCAGCACAGAGCAGGTGGTCAGCAAGTCTTTACTGAATTTGAGTGGAGAAGGAAGGTGGTGCTGGGGTTTGAGGATCTGCCTCCTGATTTGGATCTCCCTTCCCCTTCCTTCTTCTAGTCCTGCCTTAATCCCCCACTTAAGCAGTTCAGGACCTTAAGGTTTGGTTCCCTGGGGTGAGTGGGTGGGTGGGTGACAGCGGGTCCCAGGTACTTCCTCAGTAACAGTAACCCCAAGTATGTTGCGCTTGCTGGGTGCCAGCATCAGCTGGGCACGTCGTTTCATTTACACCTCACGAGGAGCTCTCATCTCCATTGCCTAGACTAGTAAACAGAGGCTCAGAGCAGTGAAGTGACTTGTCCAGGCTCACACAGCAGTCAGGATTGGAACAGCTCACCACAGACTGAGCTGCCCTTCTCGCCCAGCATTTACTGTTGCTCACCAGGGGGATTCCTTACTCTGGGGACTTCCAGAGACTAGGAAGGCTCTCTCCTCTGTTCTTCCACACCCAGCTCCAACATGGCTACGCACAAAGAAGGGGCTTTGGGGGCTTATCTTGCTCCACATTCTTAGAGAAACAAAAAAATCTGAGACTCAGATGGGTCAGTGATGTCGCCAAAGTCACACAGTAAACTAGGTGATGGAGCTGGAGTTGCCCAGGATCCCAACATCCTGAGGGTGGCTGGCCAAGCTAGGAGGAGGGGGACGTGGCACTGGGGCCACCACTCTCCAAGCCCTGTCTGTTCTTCCTCTCTCTCCCTTGAATCCACTTCCTTCTCTCCATCCCTGCAGCCCAGCACCTCCCTATGCCCAGACCAGGCTTATTATCCGTTGCCTGCACCACAGCACAGCCTCTGAGAGCTCCCCACTGGTCCCTCCATAAACCTGCCTATGCCACACTCCAGCTCTTCAATGGCTCCTCATTTCTCCTAAGATAAGGGTCAGTCTTCCTAACCTGGCTTTCAAGTTCTTTCTTGGCTTGGACTGTAGCCACGGCCCACTTGCATCTCTCCCAGTCCCCACACCACACCAGACACTCTAGTGAGCTTTGTAGAGGTAACATGGGCTCTCTTGCCCCAGGGCCTTTGCACATGCTGACCCCCTTGCTTGTATCACCCTTTTCCTTTTGCCTAATATTCATCCTTCGTGGCTAAATAAAGCATCACGTTTTCTTGGAAGTCTTCTTGGCATCGGGCAGACTTAGGCATCGGGCACACCTAGGCCTTCTCTGGGTCCCTATGGACGCTAGATTCCCTCTATCACAGCTCTGATGACACTGGGATTATAATACTTAATTTACACATAATGTCTAGACCACCGCTGACCATTAGAAATATAATGTGAACCACAAATGCAAGCCACAAGTGTGTAATGTAAAATTTTCTAGAAGCCACGTTAAAAAAGTAAAATGAAACAGGCAAAACTTTAATGATTTAACAAAATATCCAAAATATTATGTAATCACTATAAAAATAAATGAGATATTTTATAAGATATCATTAATATTAATGAGATGTTTTACTTTTTTTTGTACTAAGTGTGTGAAATCCACGTACACTACCTTTTATACTTATAGCACCTCTCAGTTTAGAGTAGCCACATTTCAAGTGCTCGGTAGCTACATGTGGCCACCACATCGAGCAGTGCAGGTGTGAGCTTTTTAAGGATAGTAGACATACCTGAGTCGTCTGTCTGGGTCCTTGGTGCCTAGCTGGGCTTGGCCCAGGGAAGGGCCTCATGGCTTTGTGGTTAAGACTCAGGCTGGGAGCTCAGCCTTGCCACTTAACAGCTGTGTTACATTGGCCAATCCCACTGGGCCTCAGCCCCTCATCTATAAAGTGGTGAGGATAACATTTTCAATACGGTTCATGATGTTAATATAAATTAAATATTTTTGCAGATACAGTTTAGAGATCTTTACAGATATGAAACTGAAGGTGAGTGTACAGGGTATGTGGGGAGGATCCTCCTCCTTGGCCTCCTGCCCTGATTGAATCTGGGGCCTGGGCCTGTGCCCATACTCCGCCTCCCAGAGTCTGGATCTGCAGTGGGGTCAGGCAGGCAGGCAGGCAGGCAGGGTGGGGAGACTCTGGTCTAACGCTGGTGGCGCCAGGGACTGAAGGCTGTTGACCTAGCTGGGGGGTTATAATGTGCCCTGGGAATGCTGGTCTGTAGACTGGCCAAGGATTTATGGCGCATTTGGTCAGGGCACGGAGCAGCAGGGGTGTAGTAGGGCAGGCAGGGCCGGGCTGCAGCATGCATCGCTCACTGCTGCCGATGGAGCCTGGGAGCTGTGTGTGCTGGGCTCCCTGGTGCTCTGCTGGGCCAGTGGCTGGGGCCCAAGTCTGCTTAGGCCTTCTGGACCTGCCTGTAGGGTCAAGCAATCCAGGCTGCCAGCCCTCTACTCTCCCCTCACAGCTTTCTTTCTGGGGCCTCGTGCACCTTGGGGCCCCTTTTACAGGGCTCACCCAGTCTGGTGGGCAGTGGTTATTGTACTGGGGTCTGCTGCCTCCTGACAACAAAGGGCAGGGGCCTTGTGTACTTTACCTGTATCTTCCATGCCCAGCACAGGGCTGGGGGCAGATGGGGCCTCACCTTCGAGAGCTGGCTGAGCCAACGAGTAAGGCAAAGCAGTATCTGAACTACCACAGCAGTCACAGGGCAGCAGGAATTCACAGGAGGCGAGGAGGAGGAGGGCCACATCTGGGAGGAGGCGGGCCTGGGACTGGACCGGAAAAGCGCCATCAGGAGCCACATGGGAAAGGGAAGGAGCAGGGGTTCTGAAGTGGGGAGTGGTGTGGTTGGGATGCGAGCAGTGCCCATGGATCAGATATTAGTGGCAGAGCTAATTAGCAGAGAGCTAACATCTATTGAGCCCTTACTGTGTGCAGTACGTGCATCCCACTGACCCTCACAGTATCCCCAGTAGGACAGCTCTGGGGCCACCCAATGGACGGGTGAGGAAGGTGAGGTTTAGAGGGTGGCAAAACTTGCCCAAAGTCACACGGCTGATAAGAGCCAGAGCTGAGCTCGAAGCCCCGACTCTCTGGCCTCAGAGCCTGCTTTCTTAACCAGGCATCAGTATCATCACCAAGCTCCCAGGGTGCCCAACCCTCCCAGGCCCAGCATCTCGTCAGACCCTTCTAACCACTCTGGGTTGTGATCCCTGCTCTAATGGTGGGGAGAGAGGCTCAGACTGCGGCAGGTGCCCCCAGGCCTGGACGCTTGTCTTGTACCTGCGTTCATAATCACTGCAGCTGTGATAGCAGCGCCTCATCACCTAATGGGTGCTAGGTGCTTTGCATCTGCTATCTTGCTGACTCCTCCCTGGAGCTCTGAGGTTAGATATATTATCTGCATTGTAAGATGAGGAAACTGAGGCTCAGCAAGGTCAGAGCCACTAAGTGATAGAGGGGGACGTGAACTGGGGTGTGTATGACTCCAGAGTCAGTGTACCTGAGCTACCACCTGTTACAACTTACCACACCCCAGACATGTTTTCTAAGTGAGTCCCTGTAAAGAGAGCTCCAGGGACCAGCCCAGAGCCAAGCCACAGCCATGGCTGCCTGGAGGATGAAACCCCAGCATCTTCCTCGATGACCTGAGGCCATCCCTATACCCCCTCTCCCTGCTGTCCCAAGGGAACATGCTGGGGAGTGGTCTCTTGCAGGTGGCAGTGGTCACATGAGCAAAGCTGGCCTTGGTGAGGGCAGCTGAGGGTGTAAGCAGGAACAGGACTTGGGGGGCTCTGGGGGCAGCAGCAGCTCCATTCACTAATGACTACTCCGTGCCTGGCACACAGAGACAGAGAGTGGCTCACAGCCCTGTGTGGGAGAAAGACAACATCACATATTCAAAACCCAACCGAACTCATGCAAAGCCCTGGGGCAACAAAGTGATGCAGAGCCCTGGGACATCTCAGAGTTATCTCAGGGGATCTAACACTGGAGTTGGTTCTTGGAGAAGTTGCTGATTGCACAGGAGAGGGGGAGGGTTTTCTAGGCAGAAGGAACGCACATGCAAAGGCCTAGAGGGAGGAGCTACTATTACTAAACAGACCTGTGTAAGCGGGGCAGGTGAGGGGGGGAATTGGAAGAGAGGCAGGGTCATGTCCTGAAGGTCCTAGAATGGCAAGCTGAGGAGCTGGGACACACCCTGCTGGTGCTGGCCCACCATGGCCTGTGGCTGCTGGAGGAGGGACAGGGCCTCAGCACTGCCTGTGCCAGGGCAGCGAGAGCTCAGCAAAGTTCAGGCCAAGCCCTGCAAGTCACAGTTCTTCCTGGGCCTCAGCTTTCCTTTCTGTGAAATGGGGGTACAGATTCTGTGAGGCCAGGCCCGGTGAGGGTTGTGGGAGGCTTTGCAGACCTGCCTAAGGACAGGGCTTCACTTCACCCCGACCCCTCCAGAGGGCAGCCCTGAGGGGGTGGGTGGGAGGGGAGGGCGGCAGCCAGCAGGTCCGATGCATGCTGAGGACAGGGTCCAGAGTGGGCTCTGCCTTGTGGCCTGGAGGGCCCCATTATGACTTTCGTGGGCCCTGGTCCCCTCCCGCAGGCACCATGGCCCGGAGCGGGGCGCTGCTGCTCCTGCTGCTGTTGCCGCTGCAGCTGCAGCTGGGACCGGGGCTCGCCGTGAGGGCCCCTGTGTTTGGCCGAAGTGGAGCCCACAGCCTGAGCCCTGAAGAGAATGAATTCGTGGAGGAGGAGCCGGTGCTGGTCCTGAGCCCTGAGGAGCCGGGGCGCGGCCCGCCCACCATAGACTGCCCCCGAGACTGTGCCTGCTCCCAGGAGGGGGTCGTGGACTGCGGCGGCATCGACCTGCGCGAGTTCCCGGGGGACCTGCCTGAGCACACCAACCACCTGTCCCTGCAGGTGAGGCCGGCGCCGCGCCAGCGGTCACCAGGGCCCGCCCCCCACACGGTGACCCCCGCCCCAGAACCACCCGCGCCGCAGCCCCGGCTCTTGCCCGGGGCTCCCCATCCCCCCGACGCAGGGCAGGTCAGACTCGAGGAGGCTGGTTCCACCACGGGCCGTGCCCCCCTACCCCCCGGCCCGCGTCCCAGGCACAGAGCACAGTGACCTCATGACCTGCTTTGTCCCACGGGAGGAGTCTGGGCTGAGGCCCTGTCAGCAGAGTCAGGCCCTGAGAACAGACACAGACCTGCCCGGCAGCTGACCCTCTGGACAGACACGGCACCTCAGACTCCATTACAGGCCAGGAAAGTGAGAGCAAAGCAGACCCCCCTGGGGCACCCTGGGGGCTCAGGGTACAGAGTGCTCTCCCCAGCTGGGGCACAGGCTAGATTTTAGAACCTCAGGAAGTGGGACACGGCATTCCAGACGGGGACTCTGGTAGCGCTGGTGCACCCATGACACCCTCGTGCAGCCCAGCAGCCCTGGGGGAGAGGGAGGGTCTGTCGCACCCATTTCCAGAGGAGACCAGGCCCAGTGAAGGAAAGTGACCGGCCCACGGTCACGTAGCCCTGTGGGTTCTGGGCTGGCCAGTGGTGGGAGCCCAAGACTGGGGTAGCCTGTGAGGGAAAGGGACGAGCTGAGGGCAGCACTTCTTGTTGCTTCATTCATCGAATAGCTCCTGTGTACCTGCTGTATGCTTCTGCTCCTATGTGGGGTGCTGGGCATGTAGGGAGGTCTCGGACATGCTCTGCCCTTGAGGCTCTCACAGTCTGTGAGGGAGGCAGAGACCTAAACAGGTAGAGATAACAAATAGAGATAGAAGGACTAGTGCTGTGAGGCCAGGGCAGCTCCTAATCCAGCCCCCTGATCCAACCCAGGAAGGCTTCTGGAGGAGGTGGTACCTGACCCAGGTTTTAAAGCATCTCAAGGGAAGTAGGGGTCTACAGGGCGTAGAAAGGGAACTAAAAGTGGTTTCTGGCTTGGGGGAGGGGAGAATGGGCTGGGACACCTGTCACTAAGTGGGAGCATGCAGCGAGCAGGTGTGCAGGGTAGACCACATTCCAAGTTTGAACTGCCTGTGGATGCCCGTGTGCGTGTGCGTGGGACTCCTAGAAGGGGGACCCACACCTCTGTTGTTACTGCTGAGCCTGCAATGCCCACATCTGGGCCTGCTTCAGAGCCAGTCCCCAGGGTTTGTCCACCATGGGGCAGAATCCCAAGGGAAGCGCCCAACACAGGGACTGGCTCCTGGGACTCTGGCTGAGGGTGGGTGCAGGCCTCTAATGGGGCAGCACCCCCTCATGCTGCCTCCTCACCGCCCCCATCCCCCTACTCCCCAGAACAACCAGCTGGAGAAGATCTACCCCAGGGAGCTCTCCCGGCTGAATCGGCTGGAGACTCTGAACCTCCAGAACAACCGCCTGACTTCCCGAGGTGAGGGGTCACCCAGAGCTGGGCACCAGGACCCCAGGCAGGGAACTAGGGGCCCATGGGGAGAGCCCCGCCCTGCAGACCCTGGCATATGCGAAAGAGCAGGCCTAGGCTGGGCCGGCATTGGGTCCCCACGGCAGGGGCTCCCTGTGGTTGGTTGCCTAACAGCCGCCACTGGGTGTTTCTGAGACCCAGAGGTCCGATCCGGGGAGAGGCTTCAGAGCAACTCAGACTCCAGGGCCTGAAGAGTCACAGACTCTTCAGTTCACAGAAGGCCTTTAGAATCAAAGAGCGTAGAGTCCTCAAATTTTAAAAAGTTATTTTTCTGACAATGAAAATAGTTTCTGATTATAGTAGAAAATTTGGAAATATAGAAAATAAAATGGAATAGAAAAAACCCACTCATGATTCTGCCACTTGGAGTTTAGCCACTATTGACATGTTGGTATATTTCTTTCCATTTTAAGAAAAAGCATAATTTATATACCATAAGGTTTACCTGAATTAAATGTACAATTTGATGAGTTTTAGTAAGTTTATATGTTGTACAACCATCACCAGAATTCAGTCCAGTCCTTTTTCTTTGTGTTTTTAAATTCATAGCTGGTCTGATAGTATGGATATTATAACTATTAGAACTGCTTTGTTTCATTTAGCAATTAGCTCAGCCACAAATTTCATGTTGCTAAAAACTCTCCGTGGCTATTACTTTACAGAGGGTATTCTGTGGAGGGATGCTGCACAGTTTATGTAACTGTTCCCTCTAGTTAGATACTTGGGTGAGTCCCAGCATCTGAGGGTCTGGGAGCCCAGAACCGAGTGTCAGAGGCCGACTTCAGGACTGGAGAAGGGCCAGCCTGGCCGGGCTCCCAGTGGCAGCCCAGTTCTGACACTGCATCTGCCAGATGGGGCAGGGGAGGGCCAGGTGGGGTGGAAGCTCAGAGGCCACAGCCCTGCCCTGCCCTGCTGTGGGGCTGGGTATGAAGAGGACCCTTCTGGGGCTGCCCCCAGGGAAGCACTCCTTCCTGGCATGTCCTCTGCCCTGTGTCCTGAACTTACGGGGGCCCATTCCCACCCAGGCTGCCCTGAGTAGGTGAAGGATCGGTCATTTCTCAGTGGACACTTCCCATCTGCTCTTCTCAGCAGATGGGAAGTGTCTCAGGGTCCCTGAGAGCCAGGGGAAGGAAAAGGGGCTGGGCAGGCCTGTTGGGAGGGGCTGGGAAGGGGTCAGAGCCGCACCTGCCCCAGGGAGTACCTCCCTGTCCTGGCAAGTGGGGTGCGTGCGGGGGCGGTCAGTGCTCACGTGCTCCCCTGTAGCATCTCCTTCATCCAGGGCTCTGACCGATGCCTGTCCTTTGAAGGGCTCCCGGAGGAGGCATTTGAGCATCTGATCAACCTCAATTACCTGTACCTGGCCAATAACAAGGTGAGGGGCCTGCAGCAGGGCAGGGTGTCGGGGACTAAGCTCAGGGAACTTTCACCAGGGCCTCTTCTGGGCTGGCTGCTGGGTTCCTGTTGCTGCTCAGACATGGCCCAGACCCAGGGCTTCAGAGCGGTCAGATAATGGCAGAGGCTGAGACCTACATCGACGTAGAGGGGTGAGAGCTCATCCCCATGGGGAGGGAGCGCTGGAGGCCTTCCTGGAGGAGATGGCATTTGAAGGGCCATGAAGGGCAATAGGATTTCAGCCAGAGGCCTCAAGGGGGAAGGGCATCACAGTAGAAGGGACAGCATGAGTGAAGACATAAAGGCACTCAACCTCAAGATATTTGGCCTGCCCCAGGGCTCTGTCCTGGCCCCCTCTCTCTGAACACTCAAGGAGACTGTCTCTCCTCCCTGCTCTGTAACACCCATCTACATCATGGCCACGTCCAGAGGCAGTCTCCAGCCTTTCCCCTACTCCCACTTGAGACTCAAAGGTCCACCTGCCTCCTCAGCATCTCCCCCAGATGTTTAATAGAAGTAGAACTGGTGCTTCCTGCCACAGCCCCCAAACCCCAGTCCTCCCGTTGTCTCCCCACCTCTGGAAAGGGCATCTCCAACTACCTGCAACACCACTGGTCAGAGCCACAAATCCAGGAGTGCTTCGCTCACGCACGTGTGGTCCCACTGCAGGCCCTCAGCTCCCCCCACCCACCAGCCCAGGACCGCCATCCCGCAGCGGGACACAGACGTGGAGCCCCTGCCTCCTCGTTTGCTGCCCCTTCTCCTCAGAGCAGCCAGAGGGGCTTTACAAAATCGTGCCTCACTTCTACTTCCCATCTCCCCTCCCCACTTAAAACCCTCCTGTGGCTTCACCCTTGGCCCAGGAAGAAACCCACACGTCTCCCCGAGGCCCTCAGATCTGTGTGCTCTGGGCCCGCCTGCCTCTCTTATCTCCCCACTGGCCCCGCCACACCCCGCTTCACCCCCAGGCCTGGCAGACCCCACACACAAGGCCTCTGCTCGCTGCCCCTGCTGTGTGGGGGCTCTCCCCGCAGACAGCGTTTAGGGTGCTGTCATGCCTTAAGTGTTACCTGTTCTCCAAGCAACCAACCCAGTCGTTCTCTGTCATCAGTCTGTTTGAATTCCCTGCAGAGCCGTGATCACTCCCAGATACTTTTATTCCTGTTCATTCACTAGGATGTAAGCTTTGGTAGTGGAGGTGGAAGAAGGTATCTCTGTATCTTGTTCCCTAGGACATGTCCAGTGCCTGGAACTGTGCCTGGAATATTGCAGACTCAGGGACTACTATTGAATGAATGAAGGGTAGACACTATGATCTGGGTCTGGGGAAGTGTGGGTGCTCACTGTGGCTGCACAGAGGGCCAGTGTGGGGGGGCAATGAGGGGAGAGACCAGGAGAACAGGCAGAGCAGGGGACAGGCTGGAGAGCTTTGAGTGCCAAGCTCAGGACTATGGGGAACTGATCGTGTGTTACTGGGGATTTTAGAAAGATGGCTCTGGTTGCAGGGAGGAGACGCATTGAAGGGGCTCAGATGAGCAGCAGGTAGTGTAACTCAGCGGAAGCCTCTGACCTGCCACTGGTCCTTGTACCCAACTCTTCCCTTTCCAGCTGACCTTGGCACCCCGGTTCCTGCCAAATGCCCTGATCAGTGTGGACTTTGCTGCCAACTATCTCACCAAGATCTACGGGCTCACCTTTGGCCAGAAGCCAAACTTGAGGTCAGAGGTCAGAGGGGGGCCCTGGGCTTAGGCTGGAGAAAAGGGAGGAGCTGAGGCAGAGGCTGCCAGCCCTGAGTGGGGCCCAGGGGCCCAGACAGGCCCTGGAGGAGGGGCATGCTGTGCAGAGCAGGCATGATGCCCCATGCTCAGGGCTGCGGTGACAGACGCCCTGGGCTGCAAGGGCACAGGATCTGGAAGACTGACCCCTAAAAGATGAGGAGGAATCAGTACAGGAGGCGAGGACAGAGGGTGATATCTGGGGAACTGCGGGGAGCCAAGTGAGGGTGTTTCCCTCCTTCCCCAGCCCCCGGGGGAAGGGAGCATCTTTCAACAGGCAGAGCCATCCCTCGCTGAGAGCTGCTTTGGGAGGAGTGAGGCCCCCCAGCACAGGTGTGTGAGCAGTGCAGGGTGGTGTTGGGGAGGGAAGGTGCTGACAACCTCCGGTGCCACTCTGTCCCTGAATCTGTCACCTCGATTCTCTCCATTCCCTGGAGGAGCCAGAGTTGCTGTGCATGGCCCCTTCCCACAGATGAAAAGGCTGAGGCCCAAGAGAGGCCACGCAGCAAGAATGCACTATATTGCCTGTGGATTTCTCTTGTTCCTTATCTTCTCTCCTTGTAGTATGGTGGCTCCATGAGGGCAGGGGCTTGTTGGTTCTGTCCACTGCTATATCTTTAGGATCTAGAACAGTCTTGTCACCTGGAGGCACTCATTGTATATTTGCTGAATGAATTGAGGGGTCACCTCCTCTGAGCCAGGATCCTGTGCTGGGCACAAGGGACAAAGAGGTGATAAGGATAGGACCGTTCTCAGGAAGTCCACAGAGACAGCTGTGTAAAGCCGACAGGCAGGGACTCCAGGGTTGCAACACTAGGGGTACAACTGAGAACCTTGAAGGATATAGAGGAGCAGGAACTTGGGGTCAGGAAATCCTGTTTCTTCCACTAACTTGTGGGGTGGGTCCTTGGTCCCCTCGGCTATGTAGGGGGGACTGGATTTGGTGGGGTCTGGGGTTCTTGAGATGGGAGGAGGGTGCCCTGGGCCCCAGGCCCAAACTGAGCAAGGTCTGGAGCCTCACCAGGTGAGATGGTGCCGGGGCTGGGAGGCCTGGGTGGGTGAGCACCTGTGCCTCACGCCCTAGGTCTGTGTACCTGCACAACAACAAGCTGGCGGACGCTGGGCTGCCGGACAACATGTTCAATGGCTCCAGCAACGTGGAGATCCTCATCCTGTCCAGCAACTTCCTGCGCCACGTGCCCAAGCACCTGCCACCTGCCCTCTACAAGCTGCACCTCAAGGTGGGAGGGAGAGGGCAGGGAGGAGCACTGCCAGAGCAGGGACCCACAGCAGGGGAGGAGCCCAGTCCCACATGGGCACAGCGGTAAGGCCGTGGGGCCTTGAGCGCGTGCCGGCGGGCACAGCGTCTGCAGAGCAGAATCAAGCAGAAGCCCGGGCGCCTGGCTGTCAGCCCCACATGGAGTGCTTTAGGCCTGGGCCCCTCTCCGTGGCTCCGCCAGACCCCGCTCCACACCTCATCCCAAGGCTCTGCCCTTGCCCCTTGGCCGTCCCTTATGCTCCCCTCCCTACCGTCCCACCTCTCAGAACAACAGGCTGGAGAAGATCCCACCAGGGGCCTTCAGTGAGCTGAGCAACCTGCGTGAGCTGTACCTGCAGAACAACCACCTGACTGATGAGGGCCTGGACAACGAGACCTTCTGGTGAGCCCCTAGCTGGGCCCTCAGTGTGAGCTCGGCACCCAGGAAGCCCTTCCCAGGGCTCACATGGCCGGGCCCTTGCCCACCTGCCCCTGGCCGGTTTCCACAGAGAAGGAACTTGGAGACTTTTGCCTTTACTGACATTTCTGTCCCCAAGAATAATGGTATGTAAGGCCTGCCAAAATTCTAGTAAGGCAAGGAAGTGTTTGCAGAGGCTATCTTCTTCGTACAAAATAGAAACTCAGACATTCTTGTTGAAGGCAAATCTATTTTCAGTTTTTAGGGCCCGGGTAGCCTAAAAGGACAAAAGGCGTTAGTAAAACAATTAGTTTTCAAATAAACTCTTATGTGTCAGAAACCATGCTGGATCCTTCCTATACCAATATATCACGGAATCAAACCAGTGAGAGCCTTGGAGACGATTGAGGTCCCCCAGTCAGCTAGCGGCAGAGCTGGGATGGGTTAGAGGCAGGTCCCCCGCCACCTCCCTTGGGAATAATGTTGGAAACAAGTGCCATGTGGGCTCCTGCCCACTGGCCTGATCCCCCGCCTCCCTCCAGGAAGCTCTCCAGCCTGGAGTACCTGGATCTGTCCAGCAACAACCTGTCGCGGGTCCCGGCAGGGCTGCCGCGCAGCCTGGTGCTGCTGCACCTGGAGAAGAACGCCATCCGGAGCGTGGACGCAGATGTGCTGACCCCCATCCGCAGCCTCGAGTACCTGCTGCTGCACAGCAACCAGCTGCGCGCGCAGGGCATCCACCCGCGGGCCTTCCAGGGCCTCAAACGGCTGCACACGGTGCACCTGTACAACAACGCGCTGGAGCGCGTGCCCAGCGGCCTGCCCCGCCGCGTGCGCACCCTCATGATCCTGCACAACCAGATCACCGGCATCGGCCGCGACGACTTTGCCGCCACCTACTTCCTGGAGGAGCTCAACCTCAGCTACAACCGCATCACCAGCCCGCAGGTGCACCGCGATGCCTTCCGCAAGCTGCGCCTGCTGCGCTCCCTGGACCTGTCAGGCAACCGGCTGCGCACGCTGCCGCCCGGGCTGCCGCGCAACGTGCACGTGCTGAAGATCAAGCGCAATGAGCTGGCCGCCCTGGCGCGCGGGGCGCTGGCCGGCATGGCCCAGCTGCGGGAGCTCTACCTCACGGGCAACCGGCTGCGCAGCCGGGCCCTGGCCCCCCGTGCCTGGGCCGACCTCGCTGGTCTGCAGGTGAGGGGGCGGGGCGAGGCGGGGGCAGGGCCGTGCCCATGTGGAGGGCTACTGGTCTGGCTGCTCTGAGCCCACCCATCTGCTGGGCCCGAGTGAGGGGTGGGCGGGAGGGCTGGGCCGTGAGGAAGGTACCCGCTGGGCAGTCTGGGCCTTAGGGTAGGGGGTCTGGGCCATACCCAGGGTATGGCGGGCTCGCGGTACAGGAGCGCAGGGCAGAGCTCAGCGGACATGGCTAGGCAGAGCTCACCACCTGCAGGGACAAGCTTGAGGAGCCCTGTGGGGATAAGGGGAGGTCATGGCTGCAGGTGCGGGGGGCACTGGACATTATTCAGGAAGACTGGGGGGCAGGGACAGTTCAGGTGGCATGGGAGAGTGGAGCTCACCTCCCTGTGGGCAAAGGATAGGTGCCTGGAGAAGGCTGGGCTTGGGGCAGGGGAGGACGGCAGGCCTGTGAAGGGTGCTGACCTCACCATTCTGCAGAGTCTGGGGGGGGTGTACTTGAGGCTTCTGGGACTGGTCAGTGAGTGTGGCTCTCGTGGCCAGAGTCTGAGACAGGAGGGCTATCTAGCCATGTGGACTGAGCCTCCTTGGTTACAAGTGAAACCTGCCGACCCAGTGAGGGGCGGAAAGGGAACTTGATTAGAGAAACCTGGGAGGCTCTGCTGCCTTACCAGGCCCCTCCCTCCCAGATGTCCTCAGGCCTTCTCTTCCCTTTTCCTCAGGGCTCTGCTCAGATATCAGCTCCTTGGGAGGTCTTCCTTCACCGCCTGCCACCTTCCTCTGCTTTGATTTTCTTCATAACCCTCATCCCTTCCGACAACAGATCATCTGTTTGCTTGTTTGTTGTCTGCTCTTCCTGCTAGAACAAGGGGCGGGCACTTTAGTCTGTTGTGTTTCCTGCTGGACCAGGGCCCTCGTTGTGATAGGTGCATAGTACATGCTTGTGTGGGGAGCTGTCAGGGTGGGGATGTCGGAGGGGAGTACAGGGGAGAGGCCCCGAGAGTGGGAGGCTGGGAGGTGGGGCAGAGCCCTGAGGGTGGAGTTGGGGGTTGGCAGCTGGCCCTGCAGGAGCAGCTGGGGTCTCTCCCAACCCAGACAGCCCGGCCGAGTGCCAGACACCAGGATCCAACCACCTGTGCCGGTCTCTCTTGGGTATTCTTAAGGGGCCCAAACCCCATTATCCTCTCTTCCACACCTGCTCCTTCTGCTGCATTTTCTAACTCGCTGAAGGGGGCAACATCCACCCAGGTGTCCACGGGAAACGTGGATGCTGCCCTGACACCCCCTTTGCACGCTGTCTGCCCTCCAACACCCATTGTCACTAAACCCTGCCAACTCTACCATCACATCTCCCCATCTCTCCACTTCTCTCCATCCCTACTGCTCATACCGCTAAGTCAAGCCTTCCCCATTTCTTTCCTGACCCCAGCTTCCTAGGAGCGCTCCACTCCTAGATTCCACATGCAGTCAGAGTGTATCTTGAAAAAAACGTGCTCACCTTACACTCCCACCCAGGACCCTTCTGTGTCTCCCCGCTGCCTTTAGAACCCAGACCAGCACCCTTGCCACAGCCTTAAAGGCCTAGTCTGCCCCTGCTCCCAGCCTAGCATCTCAGTTTCCCAGGTGCACTGGGCTTTGTTCATACTGTCCCCTCTGCTGGAAGCACCTTCTCCACACTGGTGGCACCTACTCATTCATTCATTCCACAAGCCTGTACCGAGCCTCACCATGTGCAGACACAGCTCTAGAACTGAGGACCCAGAGGGAAATAAAACAGACCCAGGGTCACTACCCTCCTAGAGCTTATAATATACCTAGGACTCAACTAAAGTGTCACCTCCTCCAGGAAGCCACCAGTGATGGGCAGGTTAGATGCCTGCCCGGGTGAGTCCAGTCGGGGATGGGGTGTCTGGTGGAGGGGGTTCTTCCTCTCACTGTTGGATCTTTCTACAAGCAGCTGCTCTTGTTGCTTCAGAGCCCCCACCTGCGCTGGCTACCGTCTATTCCCTCGACCCGAGGCCGAATCGGGCCCCTCCCCCAGGCTCCCCCATCACAGCCCAGTTCCACTGCTGCTATTGTCAGATTGTTGTGTCCGTCTCCCCTGCCAGCTTCCTGAGCACGGAGGCAGCGTCTCAGTGGATTCCATGCCCCCAGTGCCCATGGGCAGGCACTGAGGATGTTTGGAATGAATGAGGAAGTGCTGGAACCATGTGGAAGGAACCCAGTGGGGAGCAGGGAGCCCTGCTGGGTAGGGGAGGTGACAGGGAGGCTCCCTCAGGTGACTGAAGCGAGTGCTCCCCCCTGGCCCTGAGCCCCAGCCCGTCAGGGTGAGGAGGGAGCTTAGAGATGGTGGAAGCCCACCTGTGGCTGCACAGGTGTGTGTCGGGGCAAGGGTGCTGACAGCCCAAGGGGCAGGCAGTGAGTCGGGCCCGGGCACGTCCGGGTCTCCTGCCTGCTGCAGGTGCGTCCTTCTCCCTGGGAAAACTACCCCATTTTCCTGGCCACCTGCTTCCTGGACTCTAGGCCTGTGGTGACTCTGAGACTGACCAGCCTGGGGCCTGGCTGCCATGCCAGAGTCACTGTGGGCTTTGAACCCTTGCCCCTGGCCCCTGTCCACATGGCCCTGAGACCCACGAATGAGCAGCCCCATCTCCACCCTCATCTGACACCCCTGAGGTGAGATTTAAAGACTGGAGGACCCCTAGCCCTTGCCCTTCTGGGGTCTTTAGTCTGATGGTGGTGACAGGTGTGTTAAGGAGGGAGGACTTTGACACCTAGACATCTTGGCCGTGAATTCCTGTGGGAAGGCAGAAGGAGTGGAGTAGGATGTATATCAATTAGGACAAGGGTTCGGAGTCAGGTGCACCGGCCTCCGGCCCGTACAGGCTGTATGGCCTGGGATAGATCTCTGAACCTCTCTAAGCCTCTGTTTCCCCATCTGGAAATGGGGATAATTATAGACCCCACCTCACAGGGTTATGAGATTTAGATAGGCTCTGGGGTTGGTGGGAGCTTGGCATGCTGTTCAGTGCTTTGGCTCCCCTGGTCACCCCTGCAGCTGCTCGACATCGCCGGGAATCAGCTCACGGATATCCCCGAGAGGCTCCCCGAGTCGCTCGAGTACCTGTACCTGCAGAACAACAAGATTAGTACTGTGCCCGCCAATGCCTTTGACTCCACACCCAACCTCAAAGGGATCTTTCTCAGGTAGGAGGTCCTCTGGGCCCTGCACGTGCCCCTCTGGGGACTGGCCCGGCTCCAGCAGGGTAGTCAGGTCACATGGGAACCACTTGCAGGTAGAGGTCAGTATTTGAAGCCTAGCTTTCCTGCTGACCAGCTGTGTGACCCTGGGCACATCACAGAACCCCACTGAGCCCCTGTTTCCTTGGCGCTCAAGGGTGGGGACAGTCCTGGCCAGGCCTGGTGAGGTTCATGGGTTTGTGAGAGGGCTTTGGAAGATTTAAAAAGCAGAGCATGTGGGTGTTATTGATGTTCCTGTGGCAGGAGGGGACCACAGAAAGCATCTTCCCAGTTTACAGCTGGGAAGGCTGAGGCCCAGAGAGCACAGGTGACCACTGTGTCCACAGCTGGCCAGGCTGGGCCTGGGCCTCAGATCCAGGACAGCAGATGTTCAGGTCCTCACTGGGGTTCTGGGGGTTTCAGATGATTCAGGGGACCCAGCTACGCAAGGAGCTTCCATACAGCAGAGCCAGGGTGGTTTTTCCCACCATCCCCATCCCCCAAGTCAGAGAGGAGACAGATCAGAGTAAGGCAGTATGTGCACTGCCGGGGGCTTTGTGACCCAGAAGGCCAGGCTGGGTGACATCGGGGTGGTGTGACCTGTGCCTCTCGCCTCCTGCAGGAGACCGAGGTGCAGAGAGTTGAGGGGGCCTGAGATCAGAGCCCAGCCTCCCCCTTCCCAAACCTAAGTGTGTCCCTGGCCCAGCTTGGCCCTGGCCTTGTCTGTGTGCCCCTCCACACCTGGCAAGGCGACTCCAGGCTGGCAGTGCAGGAGCCTTAGGCCTAGAGGTTAATGCCAAAGGGCAGGCAGGGAGGAGGTGTCTGTGTCTGCCCCCCCAAGTCATAGTGAGAGCACATATGCAGGAGGCCTTCCCTCCGCTGCACTGGGTCACCCCTACCCCCCAGCAGCAGCCACACCGAAGAGCTTGAGCTCCCCGTGTCACCTGCGCTCCTGAGCCGCCTCCTTTTGTGTTTGCCGCGCGTCTTCCCGGAGGGCCCGTCCCCTGCGCTCCACTTCTGGGCTGGGTCGGTGTGGGCACGGTCAGGCCCCGGCGCTGACCCCACGTGGGTGGCCTGCACAGGTTTAACAAGCTGGCCGTGGGCTCTGTGGTGGAAAGTGCCTTCCGGAGGCTGAAGCACCTGCAGGTCTTGGACATAGAAGGCAACCATGAGTATGGTGATGTTTCCAAGGACCGGGGCCGGTTGGAAGAGGAAGAGCAGGAGGAGGACAAGGAAAGGTGGTAGTGACAGGGTAACCACACCTGACATAGGTAGGTGGTCCGTGCGGGGTGTGCTAACCTGCTTCACCAGATTCCTTGCCCTGACCCCAGTCTAGGTCTTTCTGTCCTTTCCTCACCCTCTGTCCCCTGCTTCATCATTCATTTTGCAAATCTGTTAGAGCACTTGGTATGCTCAGGCCCTGAGTGAGAGGTCGGGTATGACAGTGCACCTGTGGGAGGCCGGCCGGAGCCGGGGGCCCCCATGCAGGGTGATGCATCCCTGATGGGACTCGCACAGGGGCTGGGATGGTGGGGGCAGGGAATGAATGTGGGGCCCCGGGAGGAGGCTACTGCTGGTTCCAAGCCAGAGATGCTGGGGGCGGACGGTAAGGATGCAGACAAGCAGCTGGGCCTGAAAAGAGTCTGGGGGTGCACACTTGAGGAGCCCAAGTAGTCCTGCTGGACATGGGGTGAGGGAGAAGACAAGATACCAGTTCTAGCTTGGAATTCCAGGTGGACGATAGTACTGGGAGGAGCAGGTTTGGAGGGGGGAGTGATGAGTTTGGAGGGCGCTGGAGGGGCTGCCCAGGGTGGGCTGGATATGTGGGTCTGGGGCTCAGGAGTGAGGTCTGGGCTGGAGATGGGGGTCCAGGCATCGTCAGCCTTGAAACAGTCACTGAAGCCACAGGAGGCTGGGGGAGCTTGCCTTGAGGGGGTGAGAGAGAGAGCGAGAGAGAGAGAGAGAGAGAGAGAGAGAGAGAGAGAGCGAGAGCGAGCGAGAGAGAGAGAGAGAGAGAGAGAGAGAGAGAGAGAGAGAGAGAGAGAGTGA